ACGTCCACTACCTCTCTCGCTTGGCTTTTGGCTCGTGTCATGTACTCAGATTTCTCAAATGAACTCACAGTTTCTAATTCTAACACTCAATGAGCTGCATTCCCAGAGTCTTAGTTATCGATAAAGCGACAGCGATCCTTGACAAGCTTGGAAGACCTTGCTAAATTTTTACACTTTCGTTTTATGTGAAGATATGTGATATTTGAACAGCAATACCTGGGGGGAACTTGGGAAGAACATGCTTAGAAGGCCTAGCGTACGACAAGGAAGAATAAAGACTATAATAGTGGCTGTACAACAAAACTTAGAACCTTTTAAAAAGCGGTTGAGAAAAGGCAAAGCAAAGGCCTCGGTACTGCAGCGGATAACACCTGAGACTCCAGAAAGGGCAATCACGAGGTGGAAGCTTACCTGGATTTCCAAGATCTGCTCATATCTCAACATCACCGGAGTTATATTTCACATAGTACCCTAGCATCGAAACGGTGGGCTAACGCGTTCACCATCACACCATGCAGGTACTTCATTTCGCCCGTCTTTCAGCTAGTTTTCTATCGATCAGTGCCATCAGCAATCACCCGTCAACGGGATTGATTCGGGAAGATCTGGGGCGTGAAATTTTGACTACATATCAAAAGGCATTGAACTTCATTCGACTCAAACTTCACTCAGTTGTGACCTAAAAGTGTACGCTATAGGTAGACATGCATTTAAACTGCTGAGCTTAACGAGAAACAGGTTTATTCGGCTAACGTTTCCACGTTCTTCGCCTTCGCCAGGGCCGATGATCCGAGTCGATGATCAACGTGGGCCACAGTTGTTCGTCATCTCGATGGGGCCTCTCGCGTCACGTCAAAAATTTTCTTATAGAGATAGGACCAATAGTGATGGATTTCCAAGACTATATTTTAATGAAAAAAAATGATGTGGAAAGAATAAGGGCGGTCTACGCTAAAGATCACCGCCAGTAGACAGAGGTTGAGACCAATTATGCTTTTTTATTACATGTTAAGTAGTATTTTTGGAGCATGCTTGTGACTGTCCCTCCTTTTCAAACCATCACCAAAACAATGGGTCGCCAAAAAATAGCAAAAAATATAGGGCACCACTACATATATGTATATATATATGTATATGTATGTATATATATATATATATATGTATATGCCTGAGTATACATGTGCATATGTATATATATAAATATACGTACATATATATATGATAAATTTTATATGTGAAAAAACAAACGAGCAGCTATTTGCTTAATTTAGTGATGTAACGCTGTTTTTATAAGGTAAAACAAAAGGATAAAGCTCTTGGCGTTGATCAATCCGTGAGAGATGCGCCATGTACTCGATTTCATTAAGTATTGTTGGAGGTGACTAAATGCGTATCTGGCCTTTACAATGACTTGCGGTGGCCTACCGATGTATCAAGTTAGTGCTGCTATTCTCCTCAGGCAAGTCTGGTACCAATTTGCCGCCCCGGTGGATGGAAGGCTTGGTGGGAGATGGGCGCGAGGATCGATTCCACGTGGGTGTCGCGGTGGCGCCTCCAACTACTGCGCCACACATGTTCTTTTTGCAAGGTATATCACATAATCTGTGTTAGTGTACAATGAAAACTTGCTGAAATCACGACTTATCCGCAAATAAACAGACATACAATTATAAATAGGAAACTGAAATATTACCAAGACAAGACTTTCAGTGAGACTGGAACAGTTTCTGTCATTAAACATGAGCTGGAAGATGGTTGAAAGTACAAGTTTAGTCGGTTGAACATAGCAGCAGCAGTTTTGTAGTTTTGTAGCTTTGACCAACAAAAAAAAGTTGTTGGGAAAAATGTTGTAAAATTTCAGTGATGTTATCTATTTCCCACGAGGACTATATTTCTTGATTATAGGTGGATCCGATTGATATTCTTATACCCTTCACCTTCGCATTAACACTGATGTACACTAAAAGAATTCACTAGCCCTATAGAGTCAGATGACCCAAAAGAAGGAGCTTAATATTAACGCAAAGAAGAGCGCAGTAATCCAGTTAGAGACAGTATATAATATTGTTAATATTGTATATTGTTAATATTAATATATTAATATATTATATTAATATTATATTGTTAATATTGTTAATATTGTATTAATAATTGTTGAACTAGTGAAATAGCAATTAAGAGGGAATCTCTTGAAGCAGCACAACTTTCACAAAGGCAGACCATCTTTTGCACCATTCACATATCAAAATGTTAAACACTGGTTAACGCTTTGTATTTACGTGTTTGGAAAAAGAACTAAACTAGACACGGCTAAAGAATTGACAATGATTAACAAAGGATGAGACGTCGCTATTGGATGTGATTAAGATGAGACGATGAGTTGAGTGTTTTCGAGTGTTAGAAGACCTCAATTACCCACGTGTCGTAGTGCGTTGTAAGTGTGAGGGTGGGGGTTAGGGCTATTATGGTAGAATGAAGGACGTGATGCTGACAGTTGGTCGACGAGATGAGCAGACAATATGTCATTAGGACAACGCGGTATCGCGAAGCTATTATGGATTAAGAACACGTAACGAGCCACTTAAGTGTTACCATAACCAATTCGGACCACATTCATACCAGCCGGCCGCTTCATTACCGACAGATTTTCCGCGACAATTCCACGGCAGTTAAGCACAACACACACCTGTTGTCCCCATAGTTTTTAAGTATGTCGTAAAACAATGGTCGCCGAAGGATTTATCCTATGTTAGAAAGAAACTCTGAAGAAAAGGATAATACGGCCGAGAAAAGGACAAAAATTCGATATTATACATGAATTGGTAGAAAGCTGAGTTCACTGTTCCGAGGTCACGACACATGATTGGAAAGATTCTGTTGCATTAACATTTGAGCATTCGCTTTTCGAATCTTCGGTTACCTCAGGAGCACTTATCAGCTGAAAATTATTGTGTTGATGCGTATAGGAAATGTTATGGAGAATCTTAATAACTCAAAAGACCGACTTTCTAGAAACTTCAGCATGGATAATCAATATATTTATTTATATGTACTTAGAAACCAGCTGTGGAGAACCACCGAATCCTCATAGAAACCCTAATTTCTTGCGCAGTTCCAATTTTAAACCTTTCTTTCAAATGTCGAGCGACATTCTAACCATTTATCTAAATAATAGGCTCATGTAGGACGGTGTAGAGGTGTCTTGCAATACACGACTGGTCGTTGGTTTTACCCAAAACCCTTTACTGACCAATGCTCCCTCCTTCCGGGGTCGGAAAATTGATATCGGACTTGTCTAGAAGGATAAAAACACGACGTGATTTACTGTTTTGTTTCACCCAGATTAAGCAAAGGTCAATCGCTCTGAATATTTTCACTTCCGAGGCTTCCTTTGCTTAGAACTTCACTTTGCTCCTCACGAATTATTCTCGATGTATCGGCCATCGAATCGTCGAATATTCGAATATCGCGTAAACGGGTTTTCGTAACGAATGCTTGAAGACATTTAAGTGCTTTTCTAAGGAAACTTTAGAGCTAGTTGTAGTAAGATTCTATCCAGGGTTGAGCACTAAGTGTAAACATCGATCCGAAGGACACCAAAAATGCAAATTGACGAATATTCACGGTCAAGTGGATGGGCACGATCTCATTCAAGACATGCCGCGCTCCTTCTCATCAATATTTCATCTATTTAGAATTCATCCACTAAAGGTTAACAATAGGATCATCAATAACCGTACTCCGCTCTAGCTATAAAGTGTGACATCTCTTCCCATTCAAAATAAAGCAAAAAATGACAGTCGCTAAGACCCTAGCATTAATAGAACGATGAAGGCTTTGATTCACTTATCGGCTAAAAGAGCTGAATAAATCACTAAAAATCTTCCTCTCTACGACGCGCTCTCCGTTCGCTGTGGATGTCCAATGGATACAAAAAGTCAGAAATGATTCGAGACACCCTTGACTGAAGAAGACCCGGTTCGATGCGAGACGAAGACTCCACATCGAGCAGAGGAACCATCGGCTGTGGACCATCGGCTGTGGACCATCGGCAAGGATCGTCGGATTTGATGAAGACGAAAACGTCGAAACGTTAGCCGAATAAACATCTCGTAGCAACCTCGTGTACGCTCAACAATATAAACACATGTTGATTCAGACAAGATTATTCAGTTGTGCACCAGAAGACGGGCGAACGTTGTAAATGCTATGACGAATAATTTTAGAGAACCACTGGTCATCCGGAAGCTAACCATCAGTAATTCTTTTTCGAAACATCCTGAACTCTTCAACTTTTAAAACTCACTTCATTATTATTAGTATAGATTTTTCTAGACGATTATTTTTCCTCTAGTGAGTAAAGATAAAGACGATTGGCATGGCTTATGAAATTAAGAAGTTACGCACAAGAAATGTTCCTATAGCTCACCCTAAACGCTCGACGCATCAAAAGACTTCCTATGGTCGCCAATCTTTTTCATTTACTTTGGCATTACTCGCACTCGGTTCTCCGCACCTACCACTATGTAACGCTTATCAGGAATGAATTTATGTATAGTTCACTGTTCTTCACTTATACTAAGTGCATTTTGGGGTGGACAAAGGAATCAGAAAGAAATGGTGATCACCAAAAAAGCAGATCCATTCTCTGAATATTAAGTCCAAGGGAGATTTCCATTTCAAACAGATTGAATCATAAGAAGAAAGGATTACTAACAAAGGCGTTTAGTTTTAAAATAATAGAATAGAAATCACTCTGTATTAAAAATCGGCAAAAGAACTACGCTGACGCTCTTTGACTACGTAGGGTCTATGAGCGGTGAATTTTAGATCAACAGAGTTATTCACAACGAATGCAAGTTTTTCGTGAAGCATGAGTGATATTCGTTTTCGGTTAATTGTAATGCTTCAACGGATATCAGGCGACGGCGGACTGAACACAATAGAGCAGCCGCTCAACATACAGACCATCCACAGAGGGTTCCGTTCTAATGTTAATCTTATAAAAGCGAAAACGTTTGATGAGCTAAGAGGGCAACAGAATCAGAAGAACTAGCCAGCAGTAGTGGAACTCCGGGCAGAATTGTTAACATGGCTTCACGATGTCGTTGACCGGAACGGGAAGAGACGTTGAGCGTGGAGGAATCACAGCGCGATAATCGCCCGCCACCACCGCCACCGTTGGCGGTCAGTCGTGATGTCAACACTGACGATGGTCGTCTGATCGGAATAAGAAACAATAACAGAGCCATTGAAAATAGAAAAAAAAATGAGAGTACAACTTGAAATAGGCGAGTGAGAAGATTGCTAAAGATAGAGGAAATCCGGATTTATAATGCTGATAAGGTAAATGAACAATAGGTTGTGGCAACTGCACTACATTCGCGGATCTTTTAAAATATTTAGCTTTCTGTTTTTTGCCTTAAACTTAAGCTTAATGCTACTTTTCATGTCAAAAAATTGAGCACCCTGTCGACCCTATTGATGGCAGAACTTTCAACTGTATGTTCAACACCGGCAGCATATGGCATTCCACGAGTTTGGTGCCGCCGATTTTAATAGCAATAATATAATATGGAAAAATAAAAACGCTTCAAATTTTTGCCCAAGAACCGAACACAAAACACCAACGGTCACATAAGGAAATAATTACTTCAGAATGTTGAAGATCCAACAAAGAGTAAAGGTTCTTCACCAGAATAAGATGTTTTAGCGAGCACTTGTTAGCCACGGGATAGTTTCTTATAAAGATGAAAACTAAAGCTCTCAACGTTGATCAAGTCTTGAGGGATTCGCAATCCGCTGGACATTCCCAGCCATCGTTAGACGTGACGGATTGCATATCTGGCTTATCCAGTGACTTGCCTACCGATGTATCAAGTCATCGCTGTTATTTACCCAGACAAGTCTAGTATGAATTTAAATATCCCAAGTGAATGGTATACTTGGTGATCCTAGAGGACGGGATCGAATCAAGGTGTGTATACCAAGGAACGACCAAGTGTGTATTGTAGGTTGCCTCTGCTCATTGCAAGACACGTCCCACCTCCAGTGATATAATAAAAAAAAACATCTTTGAAACCCACGGCGATGATCTATTCAGGTTAAGGCTATGTTATAGCTAAAAAAAACCATATCGTTCGGCCAACAATACATTATAGTCCGTCGTCACCTAATCCGGATAATTTGACAACTCTCATGAGGCAAGTAAATGAAGAGTTATGATGAATGTCGCAGATTGCCGAAAGAACTGCCGGATAAACGACAAGCCAAGAAGATTGACTTCTTCTGTAACATTCGTCTGCTTGGTGATTACACCATCTTTTTTCACTTTGGAAGCCTGTTTCATCAAGTCTTTCATTCAATCCAAAATGGTCACCGTGCTGATTGATCACATGAAAGCAACATCAAGCCAAATAATGAATGCCATAGTTATCCGCACTAACTGGGAAGGTTTTTAAATCGACTGTATTTAGCTGTAGGTGGAACGACTAAAGCAAGTCGATTTGCTCATCTGCAGCAGTTTTAATTACGGCATTTCGTGCCAGTCATACAAGTAGCACAGAAGGACACTAAGGGCTTGTGGATTCAGTCTCCGTTAAGTTGATGAGTCTCATCCGCAGCATTCAAAAGGCAGAATGTGTATCCGTATTGTACAACGTAAGGTTTAGCTCTTCATTAAAACGCATTACCAAAACTTCATGCTCTGTGAGGATAGATGCTCGCTCCTAGATTATGGAACAGCAGCGAACAAGTGATGGTGATACCTTTTGCGTCGAGTTCAGCATAGAGAGAGCAGCCAAAATTGAAAGCTTAAAAAGTGTGTTCATCATTGTTTTCTTATAAGTGACGGATAACTAAGTAGCACCTTATGAGAAAAAGGACTGCTGTGGTTGAACACATCTCAGATGTACTCGAATCTATTACTGCAGTCCTGTGAATCCTTGAGCACATTAACTAGATATCAACAAGGCTTAAAATTGATATTATCACGGTAAGATCTGTTCAATTATCTTTATTTGTCTAAGATACACGAAACACGAAACATTTTTGGAATCTTGTCCTATTTTTACTGCCTTTGCAAAAAGGCAACGAGCAGCGTGTCGGCTTCCGCTGGTCGAGCTTCTCGGCTCCGATGATTTCAATAGGGAATGAAGACTAGCTCTACATCGCATTCAACACCTCAGAACATCAATGGACATTATACGGTGAGAACTCATTAGGTCATGAATCTGAAGGAGTTAATAGATGAGGAGTGATTTTCTATTACGTTGGAGGGCAGTGATTCCTCATTAGTCAAAATCGCAAAATAGCTTAAATATAGAGGCAGAACTAGCCACGGAAACAAAACTAGCAATCTGTATATATGTATATATATATATATATATATGTATATAATGAGTTGAAATGAGGAAGCAAAATGCTGCATTGTCGCTTATTATGATACCTACCATCGGTTGCACAAATCTAAGAGCTTCCTAGAAGAACCCTAGGCAATTGTACCAAACACAATGGATTCACAGTGTCCTTAACAGTACCACATTTCCTGCTACGTTAGAGTACTGGCACTAGCGTGATCCAGATTTCGGTGATCACCAATATGTTGTGTGCTGATAGCAATGAATGAAAGCGTACATCAGTAGTCGGCTACCTCGATAGGATCGAGAGAACGCATCGTAGTGTCACTAAATGAGAAATGGCGACCATAAATAGAGACGCTTAGCCGTTCCCAGTAGCTATTAAAAAAAGCGAAGATTGAAGTGCCACCACAGCCGTTTATTTGACAGAAGAAATTAAATGACCATGAATGCGAACAATTTTGACGTTTGACTGGCATCATCGATGGGCCGACAGCGTGTGCAGAGAAGAGATCGTAGTTTTGCACGCAGAATGCCAACAGCAGTGTATAATAGCAACTCAGTTGCTCTTGAAAAATTTAGAGTATTAGTAAGAGCATTCAAACATTTCGGACATTCTTAAGGAGATTCTGACTGCTCAAGTTTTCTAACTAGATCTTGTAGCTTGTTATGGATTTAATACGGGTAGTACTTAGCTGATAACTGTTTAACTAACTAGTTTTTAATGTCATAATCTTAACCGTTTTATTTACTGCCTATTCTTTCTTAACGGCAGGGTATGTTGCGAAATGTAACTATTATAATGCTGAGATATTTGTAAAACTCCTGACCGCAGCTGCCTGCGGTGGAGAACGAACGCGTTATTGTCCTTTCCGGGGAGTAACGCGTTCACCACCACACCATGCGGGTTCTTCGTTTCACCTGTCTGTCAGCTAGTTCTATCGATTTTTTGTCATCAGCAAGTGTGGTGGTGAACGCGTTACTCCCCGGAAAGGACAATAGCGCGTTCGTTTCCCACCGCAGACACCTGCGCTACAGAGTTTAGCAAATATCTCAGCATCATTAAAGCTATATGTTAATGTCATAGTTTAATTGGTGTGAAATTGTTGGTAAAGTTACCTTCGTTCGAGTTAGCTGGCAATGGATTTTGACTGCTTGGTTACAGGAAAGCACAGAGTTTCTTCCCTGATATCCATTTATAACGATACTGAGATATTCGCAAATCTCGGTTCCTTGGCCAAATCCAACCACGATTTCCTTTTCCAGGGGATTGCGCATTAGACACTGCGCCACGGAGGCCTTGATCTGCGTTTCTCTCAGCTTGTTTTCTACCTAACGCTGCCATCAGCAATCACCTATCTGGCTCGAGTGCAAGTTTAGCGAATATCTCAGCATCGTTAAGGTTGAATTTTACAACATACCCTGCCCTGAAAAATTATTGTAAGCAGAAAATAAAAAGGTTAGCATTGTGATTTTGATTACAGCTTCAGCTTAACTGGGTTCAATGCCATTTTTACTTCCAGATCAATTCCGCTGACGGGTGATCGCTGATTGCAGCGTTAGGTAGAAAACTAAGAGAAACGCAGAGCATGGGCCTCCGTGGAGCGGTGTATAATGTACAAGTCCCGGAAAGGGAAATCGTAGTTCGATCCGGCCCGGAAACCAAGTTCTGCGAATATAACAGCATAGTTATGGTTGAATTTCACTTCATACCTTATCGTAAAAAATTATAGTAAGCAGAAACTTAAAAGTCTTACATAAATATAGATTTATAATGTTTAACGTTTTGTTTTCTGCCTTCTATAATTTTCATGGCAGGTTACTAAGTAAGCGAAATACAACCACAACGTTGCTGAGATATTTGCAAAACTCTGGACCGCAGGTGTCTATGGTGGGGAACGAACGCGCTATTGTCCTTTCCGGGGAGTAACGCGTTCACCACCACACCATGCGGGTCCTTTGTTTCGCACGTCTCTCAGCTATGTATAGATTTATACTTCATAATTCTTCCTCCTAACGGTTTACCTCCTCTTTGTGGCTGGGAGGTGTTCCTAGGTGTCGGACTGCGATATACAGCGGGTGATTCGTCCTCCCAGTGGGGTCTCCCAAGCTGAGAAGGAGTCCGGGGTTTCCATCAGGAAGCCTAGCTAAGAGTAAACCAATACCAGCATACACCAACGTCCTCGTATCAAAGTCGCATGGCGGCAAATCTTCTTCTGATCCACAAGGGCTGCGACTGCCCGCGGTGGTGAAGACCTGGTACAGACTTTGGCCAGGCTGACCTCGGGATTCCAGGGAACCACAATGGCTTAACCAGCAAATCACCGAAAAATGGTGACTATTCTGGGGTCCGCGCAACTAGTGAAGAAGGGCCGTTCAAGTATCAAGTAGGTAATTCTTCCTTTCATCACCATATCATCATGTTTTCTCATTCCCTAACTGATGGTTCATAGCAAATGTAGATCTAACGATAATATAAAGTTGGAAATGTCTTCCTTCATTGGTCAACTGGCACGAGGATGAGAAGAACAGTCGACTATGTTTCGGCGCTTTCGGCTTTCGTCTTTCAACTAAAGATTAAAGTTGTTCTAAAACATATATATAGATTGAAGAAAAACACAAACCTCGTTCTTCTTAAAGAAAGACAACTAATAGGAAATACTGCGTATACTAGTAAAGAAATGCCAAAGTATTTGCGTAAATCACTCAATGCAAGGCGATAGTGAGAAAAAGGTGGACAAAGGAAACAAAGAGCTCTTAGCTTAGGCTGATGGTGCTTTTGGCGGCCTATATTGTGACGATTTCGTTGAGTGTAGCGAAGCCCTCCGTAGGGACTCAATGAATCCCTCCGATAATAAGACAATTAGGTAGAAGCCGGCACCACAAAAGAGATT